AAGATAAATTCTATTAGGGTTATGCTAGCCATAGCTGCGTTTCAGGATTATGAAATATGGGAGATGGATGTATAAACTTATTTCCTTAATGGGAGGTTGGCTAAAGATGTTTACATGAGTCATCCAGAGGGTGTTGTCGATGCAAAGCACCCTAATAGAGTGTGTAATCTTGAGAAGTCCATTTATGGATTGAAACAAGTGTCTCGCAGATGGAATCTTTGTTTTGATTAGAAAGTCAAACAAACAGTTCGGGAAGTGTAACGAGGAGACGACCTGCTACAAATGTGGGAAGACAGGGAATTTCTCCAACAAATGCGCAGCTAACAAAAAGGTGTGCTACGGATGTAATGAAGAAGGGCATGTTTCTAGAGACTGCCCAAAGAAAAACGCACCGCCACAGCCAAGGGCATTCCACATGTTCCTCGACGAAGCAAGAAATGATGGGAGGATTAAAAGATGAAGACTTCATATTAATATATATATATATATATATATATATATATATATATAAAGTCTGTATCAGGAAGCATAGCCTGCTAGAGGCATAGTATAGGGTGAACTTGAACTTTTGTGTAATAGTTTCAAGAATTAATATAAACCCTGGTTTTGTTATCGGATGTGTTGAATGATTATATGATTTATGTATGGTGACTTGGTTAACTGCGAGACAATACTTGGGACGAGTATGAGTAGGTGTGAATGATAGTAGATATCTATACTACTGGAAACACAGGACTCATGCTTGGATCATGGGAAGTCGCAAGGTTACCAAGAATCTAGTAATTGATTCCGTTTTATTCAAGTATGTCATTACCATTGTTTCGGTAATGACTAGTAAGATAGTTGTTATTTCGTTTTATTCAAGTATGTCTATACTACTGGAAACACTATCATTTAAGATATATCTTCTATGCATCTGGGATGTTAATATCTTGACTGAATCTAACCACCATTCCGGACTGAAGGTATTTTTTCAGATGTGTTTCTCTGATTGTTATTTAGGTTTGAATGTCTGATAGTTCGATTTCAAAAATTTTGTTAACTGAACTTATTGCTCTGATTTCTAACAAAGACCATGAGCTCTTACTGGTCACGGTGTCTCTCCCCTGGAGTTCTTCTCAACCAGTGATTAAGATTCCTTTTGTGATTTTCAGATCGTGGTGTTCTTCTCAACCTATCATCTTCATATGCTTTCTTACATCCACTTCCACGTTGACGTTACATTGAGTACAGGTATGTTTCACAATTTGAATTTAAGATTTTTTCCTTATATACATTACATTTCAATTTTGGTTTATGGAGGTTTTGATTTCGTACGTGTATAGATAATCGAATCCATAAAAACTAAATTTATTCATGTAGTGGTTTTGATAGTTTGGCGTTGCTTTTAGGGTTTGAATTATATTTGTGTTTTTGTCTACTTTGTTTCGTTTTCCATGTGATAAGGTTTAGTATTTTAGAGACTCTTGAAGGTATGAATTTGAGATGGAGTTTGCATAAAGTTGTGGAATGATTGTTTGTAGGCTAAATGTAGCATTTTTTCTTAAACAAATTAGAGAGTTGTTGAAACTGGTTGGTATTCCCCCTGTTGTGAACCAGGTGGAGTTCCATCCTTCATGGCATGATGACTTACTGAGAGATGAACTCATTTAAATTTCTTACTAAGATACTAGCTATGATGTTAACAAGAGAGATTTAAGTGATATAGCTTCATCAAATGAAAGTAGGTATTGCATAGATGGTGTGGTTTTTAATGAAGTTTTTTTTAGCAAAGAGCCAACGTGTTCAATATGATTGCATATTATATTATTAGGCAGTTGTGAAAGGGAAAAATGGTAATTTAAAACCACTACTTATAGAAATCAAATTCACTGCCGCCTTGCTTGCAGACGGTATTAATGCACAAAGATTTACACTAATAAAATAGAAACGAATCTTAATGTTTTTATTAAAACTGTGATTCTATCAATTAGGCTTTATTTTTTGAAACAAGATTAGTGTTTTTGTTAAGTCTCAGATGACATTAAAGCTTGGCAAACTGTCCTCTTTGGAAGGTAAGCTCGGTATTTTACTTTTTTGTTCATTTTTTGCTAAAAAATTATAGCTTTTTTGATAAAACTGTAGTTTTTTTTGGAAAAATTGCAGCTTTTTGGAAAAAAATACAGTTTATTTGAAAAAAAATATAGTTTTTTTTTTTAAATTTCATTTTTTTAAAATAATGCATTTTTTTGAAAAAAAAAATATTTTTTTCAATTTTTTTTTTCATAAATTCATGTTTTCTATAAAAAATATTAAAAATTTTGCACTTTTTTTTAAAAAGAAAAATACATTTTTTAAAAAAATCCGAAAATTTTATTTATTATGTAGCTTTTTAAACATTTATATTAATATGATCAATAACACAAAAAATCAAACATTAAATGAAATTGGTAAGATGACGATCATGTCCTTAATGAATTAATTTTGATCCCTTGACTTTTTGGTACCTATTCACTGGGCAGTAGTAAAAAAACATCTTTTATAGCATTCTATTTTTTAGAAATTAGGTCCAGTTGCATAAAATTTATATAGGTTGATGATTGTTATTACTTGATGTGGGTTTTGTCAATAAAAGTCATGCTTCTTCTATTGGAACTTTAAGTCATGTTTGTAGGTTCCTGCTGTACTTGTGCTTTGTTGAACATGCTTTAGTTGTTTTTATGAATTTTTCTACTTTCGTTTTTATTGTTTTCTAATTTTGTTTTCAGCTAAGTGGGTTACATGGTTGGCTTCTACATGTATCCTGCATTGGCTATGTCACTAAGAAATATCAACTATCAAATTTTGGCAGTCCCGACAGTAGTAAGCTCTCTGTTTTCAAAATCTTTATTTATAGTTATGTTTTAATCATATTGTTTTTTAGAATAACAACTGATTAAACCGTTTTTTTAGTGTTGTAAATTTGTAGGTTATTTGATTTTATTAAGCTGAATGGCTAAATTTTGAGTATCTGATTCTAAGTTGGTAGTTTATATGCCAATCTTTGCCCTTTGGCTTGGGAAATCAAATGGACAAATTTGCCCATGTATTTTGTTTTTTAGCTTTTTTCCATAGACTACAAATCAAAATCTTTTGAGGTAAATTCTAAATTTTGTTTTTTAGTGATTATTTCTTACTTTTCCAATAAGAGGGAATTTGATCAATAAGTTTTCGTATATTATTTTTCTAATCGATTTGTATGTTGTTGAATCACAGATACATATAAAAAGAGATTCAATGAATTTTTCATAAGAAGATTGGTTAAAACCTTTACAACAAACATAACAGGATGATGATATGCGGGGAGTTTCATTGGATTATTGTTTGTATCAACTTTATAATTCCGTCCAATTTTATCATTCTAATTAACTTTTACAAGATTCATGTGTTATAAATTTTTAGGAATAGTCTTTATACATGTTTTACTTCTTACATTTGCAGCAATAAAACAATGGCTTTTTGTGATCCAGGGATTACAAGATGCCTGGTTAAGATGTTGAGTAATTCCATTCCATTCGTTTCAATTCCATTCCATTCTTTACTTTCATTTTGTGAAACCAATTGACATTCATTTTTGTACCTTCTACAATTACCAACATTAACATTACTTTTTCTTATAGGAACATTGGAAAAATTAGAGCCACTATATGTAAATCATTGTATAGTTTGTTGCTATTTCCTGTTTTTTAATAAGAGGCTAAAAAATATCTTCCAACACCCGCAACGCGAGATTCTTTCCTAGTTATGTTCTAAATATAAATAAAAAGAATAACCAATTAAAATTTTATATTCCCAAATTCAAGCATTTACTTCATTTATATATAAATATAATATTTTGGTTTGTTATAGAACGGCATATGTTAGTTATATTAATGACCATTGGGACAAGATGACAAGCAGAAGACAACATGACTAAAGATGTTAGTTCTCTTCATTAATAAATATTATAAATATTTGCTTCTTAAATAAAATATATATATTTGCAACCTTTTTATTTTGTGAATTATAACTAAAACATATAACCTTCAAAAAAATATAAGATCACATTAATGTTAAAATTTTCTGTTATTGATAGTTTAGTTTTCTGAATTTTTATACCTAAAATCTTTATTTATTGTATCTTCGGCAAAACACTTTTGAAAACTTTTACATTTTACCTTTTAAGAAAAATCTGAAATTATAAAAAAATATATGTTTTTGGCATATGTGTCTTTAAGTATTGTTTTAATTCAAAAGCTTATAATTCAGTAGATTTTAGCTTTTGATAGCTTTTGGTTATATATGATATATAAGTTAGATTATTTTTTAAAGTTATTATAATTTAATGTTTGGTGAGATCAAAGAAGCTTATGGAAACTTATAAACTAGTTTTTTTATAAGCTTATTTGAGATAACTTATTGAGAAGCTAGCTTATAGCACAAACCTAATATTGAGCTTGTATGTCATACAAAACGTTTAGTTTTTAATTTTTACGTAATCGCGTACATTTAAAAACTAACAATTAATTTTACTACCTTCAAGAAAAACAGGGCCGGTTAGTTTTACAAAAGACAAAAACGAACAGTGTCGTCAAACTTAAAACCAATATAAATAAGAAAATGAAAGTTGAACAGATCAAAAGATCTAATAATATAATAATATCAAGTTGATATGTGTAAACAAGAATTAAGAACCTTAACCAACTTATATTAAGATATCCAAAATAATACTAACTTTTTCTCTAAACAAGACCGGTAACATGTTATATATAACTATATATTATTTATAATTTACAAGTTCTATGTTATTCATAACTATCGATAAAAAAATATATAAATATATTACATGATCTAAAAACAATATACTTATTATCCATATAACTATATTAATAAAACATAATTACACTATTATTATTACTCGTAATTCAACAACCAAATGTGATCTTCGCGAAAGAAAGAAGAAATCGATAAAAGTGGTCTTACGTTAATTCCGACTCTTGAACATGCAAAATTCAAAGAAAGAATCAGTAAACGGTAAAACCTATACACCTCCACGCTCAAACATTTTTAATTAAATAATAATAACTCCCATTTTGATGGTGAACAGGTGAAGTCAATGATGCCAACCTGCTGTCATCAAGAAACTTTCTTATTTCGAGTTCTAGTAATCTCTTTTTCTATCTCCACAACTTCATGTTTCTCATTCATTGACATTCAATTCACAAATGGGTACAACAATAGGGCAACCACTTCTGATCCTCTTCATCCTATTTTCGTTTACATCAGCACAAAACAATGATTGTAAGTTCTTCACCATCATATCATTTCATTTTATCGAAATTTCCATTTCCCTAATTTTCCTACTTCTTGTCAAACTAATCTGTATTTGAACTTCACCCTGTGTATTTTGTTCCAAAACTACTTTTATTCGTGAGTTTCTGTTTAACTGATGAATGAACGAAGTCAACTGTTTCATATAACTTAAAAAATTTGTTAGAAACTTGGTGGATTACTTAGAAAAAATTGTTTTGATTTCGGTGAATATGAAGATACATATCTGCGAGCTTTGAAAGATGCTTGGCAGAACACACCACCCAGTTGGGAAGATAACTCCGACCCATGTAGTGGTTGGGACGGAATCAGGTGCACAAACGGACGTGTCACCTCCATGTGAGTCCTTCCTTCATTAACAATCTTCAAAACAATAAGTTCCCGACAAGCCTAATAACTTGGTTTTTTTTTTTTTATTAATTTATATTTTCAGAACTTTGGCTAGCATGGGTTTGACTGGTTCGCTTACGGGAGATATAGGGCAGTTATCTGAATTGCAGATTCTGTAAGTTTTTCTTTCAATTCATAGTTTCGTGTGATTGCAGGATCGTTTGGATTTTGGATTACTTTTTAGTTTGAATATGTTGGTGTCTTATGAGGAAATTCCTTTCTGTATGTAGAGATTTGTCTTACAATACGGGTTTGACCGGGCCTCTAGTTCCAGCAATTGGGAATTTGAGAAAGTTAACAAATTTGTACGTATTTTCTTTTTTATTTTATAAGTTACATGCTTTTTATTTTATAAGTTATATCCTAAAGAGACGTCAAAGGTTTGAGTCTTCTTGAAGACTCAATTCCAACGCGGATTGAGCTCCTTGTGGGTTCGTCATCTAGCACAGGACACACGGATGAGTGGGGATCTGCTTTTGGGTTGCTGTTAAAATAACCCTTTTGTAGAAATGTCGGGTTTGTCATCTAGCATAGGACACAGGACAGTGTGGAGTGTGGACCTGCTTATGGGTTGTTGTTAGAATAAACCTTTTGTAGAAATGTTTTTTCGTATATTAACATAATTTTTGTTTTTATCAGAATCCTGGTTAATTGCGGTTTCAGCGGGCCACTTCCCGACACCCTCGGGAATCTAGAAAATCTTATCTATATGTGAGTATGACAACTTGTTTTTTTTCCAAAATATATGTTGAAATCCTAATTATAAAGATTAATTTACCCATTCTTCAACAATTTGGATTGTGTAGGTCTCTGAATTCTAATCGTTTCACGGGATCGATTCCACCTTCCATTGGTAATATCGAAAATCTTTACTGGTTGGATTTAGCTGATAACAGGCTATCTGGAAGTATACCTGTTTCTAGTGGGACAACTCCTGGTCTTGATATGCTAATTCATGCAAAACATTTGTAAGTCTCCTCATTACTAGAAAAATAGGAATTAGCGACGGAAAAACTGTTGCTAAGTTTGTAGAATATTCATCATTATATTAGTGACAGAAAATCTGTCGCTAACTTGTGAAAAACGTAGTTTTGTGACAAAATAACCTCATTTATGTTTTTTTTTTCTATATCAGCTCAATGAATGATTTAGCGTTATACTGACTTATGTATTTTCAGCCATTTTGGAAGGAACATGCTCACAGGCCCTCTCCCAGCTCGGCTCTTTAGCTCAAATATGACTTTAATTCATCTGTATGTTTTGATACAACAATCAATCTTCTTTGAAATATGTAAATAATCAGATCAAATGAAGTTAACTTAGTTTCTGCCTTGTTTTTTTTTTTTTTTTCTGAGCAGACTATTTGAAAACAACCAGCTTACAGGCCCCATTCCTTCCACCCTTGGGCTTGTGAAATCACTAGAAGTCGTGTGAGTACAACTAACGTTCATTTGCAAGACATTTTGTAAATCTAAATGGGTAAATTTGTGTTTTAATGGCGTTTTTATGTGATATCAGGCGTCTTGATAGGAATCGTTTAACTGGTGATATCCCATCAAACATCAACAACCTTACTGGTGTTTTTGAGATGTAAGTTTCAGAAACTTCAAGTCTATTTTAATGTCTGATGTACTTGAAAAAGTAGAATACAAGAAGATTATGTTAATGTCTGATAAATTTGTTTATAGGTTTCTGTCAAACAATCGATTGACTGGCCCTGTGCCTAATTTAACCGGTCTGGGCGTCCTCAATTATCTGTAAGTAATAAGACTTTATCCAACTAATTCTATTTATAAATGATAATCTTGATTACAAACAATGATCAAGAAAAAGACCTTTTGTATAATCAGTAATAATCAATAAAATTCTAATTTCTCAATGTGATTCCAGGGATTTGAGCAACAATACTTTTGATGAATCCAGCGTTCCTTCTTGGTTTTCGACATTACAGGCTTTGACAACACTGTAAGGCCATCTAATTATCTTCATTATCTCTCTACTAAAAATTCCAATGGGTAATTATTTACATGTTTTTGCAGGAAGATGTTCAATAATAATCTTGTAGGAGTTCTCCCTGTTACCCTTTTCAGCATCCCTCAATTACAGAATGTGTGAGTTATGATTCAGTCGGTTTTTGTCTTCTGTTTCCAAGTTTTCACATGCGGAAATCTCACTATTTGCAATCGGCTTTTTGTCAGTGATTTAGGTGGCAACCAACTAAATGGCACCTTGAATATCGGCTCTACCCATAGCAACCAACTACAGCAGGTCGATTTGCGGAATAATCAAATAGATGACTTCACTCAAAGAAGCGAATATAATATCGAATTAATGTAAGTTTTGTAATTATTGTGCTTCTGAAAAAGGAAAGAGAGTTTATTAAGCTTTTTTGGTAAAGCACATTTACTTTTCAATTCATAACCCTTTTTAGTTTAATTCATTAATACAAATAGCACAGTTGGTTCGGAGTAGGTATTAGTTGGCCGTTGTGTGCCTCACTGAGATGCTTTTGGGCAGTGTGGGTTAACTCAGGGGTTGCTGGAAGAAAAACATTTTTTGTAAAAAACTAAAAGTAACAATTTATTTGCAGACTTGCTGGTAATCCAATTTGTATGGAATCGGGTGTGACAGACGAATTTTGTAATCTTCCCACAGTTACAACATCTACATATTCTACACCACCGAGCAACTGTGTACCTACATCATGTCCTTCGGGTCAAGCTTCGAGTCCAAATTGTCAATGTTCATTTCCATACACAGGCAACCTTTTCTTCCGGGCTCCTTCCTTCTCTGATCTTGGAAATACAAGTGTTTATGAATCTCTCCGGAATGCAATGATGATATCTTTCCAGAGATCTCAACTCCCGGTGGACTCGATTTCAGTTAGGAATCCTATGAAAAATTTGGATGATTACCTTGTAATCAACCTTCAGGTTTTTCCATCTGGAAACGATAGGTTTGATAGGTCCGGGATTCTTGGACTCGGTTTCTCACTTAGCAACCAAACTTTCAAGCCTCCTGCAGCATTCGGTACCTACTTTTTCATCGGTGAAAACTATGACTTCTTGCTAGGTAATAGATTCTTCTCCAAGTCTATATGATTCCACTTAATGCGGGCTTTAAATTTTTCAAAAACATGCAAGAGTTTGAGTCTCAATAGCCGCACTAAGGGAGTTTCAGTTCCAATGTGGATTGGGCTCCTTGTGGGTGTCTGTGTACCTGAGAGCAGGCAGTGTGGGTCAGCTCAGAGGTTGCTAGAATGATAACCATTTTGTAGATACTTGTGCATAGTTTGTCAATCATGAAAGCTTATTTTTGTGTCGTATCACAGGATCATCAGGGAGCGGAAAGAAGTCATCTAACACTGGAATTGTTGTGGGGGCAGCTGTTGGTGGTTGTGTGCTTGTGGTGTTATTGATAGTTGCAGGAATGTATGCTTTTCGACAAAAAGGCAGAGCTGAAAGAGCCACACATGAGAGCAGGCCTTTTGGTATGATTTACCATTATCCACTAACGCTTTCATTTGTTACACGGACATAACCATATAGAGTGGACAAGCTTTGTAGGGCTATTTTCTACAATGAGGAGGAGTGTGTTAATGTCTTTAGCACATGAGAGAGATCAAGAGTGAGTCCCGGTCCCACCCTGTTCGACCTTTTTCGGGTGGGACAAAAGAAAATGCAATTTTTGTGCCATTGACAACATCCTCAGTACCTTGGAGTATATAATTTGGCTTCTAATAGTTTTTGCTTGAAACTTGTAGCATTATGGGATACAACCACTGGAAGTGGTGGTGTCCCTCAACTGAAAGGAGCAAAAGCATTCTCTTTTGAGGAACTTAGCAAATGCACAAACAACTTCTCAGAAACGAACAACATAGGAACTGGAGGATATGGAATGGTGAGCATATTTGTGATTGTTTCCTTACATATATAAAGATCAAAGAAGATTAAGAATGAAATTATTTTGTGTAGGTATACCGAGGAAGCCTACCGAATGGGCAACTGATTGCAATCAAAAGGGCTAAGCAGGGATCAACACAGGGTGGGCTTGAGTTTAAAACTGAGATTGAACTTCTTTCAAGAGTTCATCACAAGAATCTTGTGAGTCTGGTAGGTTTCTGTTTCGATCAAGGTGAACAGATGTTGGTATATGAGTATATCGTGAATGGCACAGTCAAAGATAGTCTTTCAGGTACTTTTTTTTCCAAAAAAAATATGATTAGCATTATTATAGCTATTGTTGTATATTTGTATTTATATATAGTCTAGGGACCATTATTGTCATTACAGCTTTTATGTTGGGTATACATTGTTTTTTTTTTTCCCTTTTCAACTTCCAGTAATGCAAATACACTATTGATATAATAATGGTTATAATGATACTAAATTATTAATAGTCTGAATTACAAAAGTGATGATCATTGAACATGACATGTGCAGGGAGATCTGGAATCAGGTTAGATTGGACAAGAAGACTTCGAATAGCACTAGGAGCAGCAAAAGGGTTGCAATACTTGCATGATCTTGCTGATCCTCCAATCATACATAGAGATGTCAAAACAAACAATATCTTATTAGATGAACGCTTAGTCGCAAAAGTTGCTGATTTTGGCCTTTCCAAGTCACTTGGTGATGCTAACAGAACTCATGTTACCACTCAAGTTAAAGGCACAATGGTAAGTAATTCCTTCATTGCCAACTTTTCTTTATGTCCACAAATAAAAGGAGGCCTCGAAATGTAGCACAGTTGGTTCTAGGGTTATATCTTTTCCGAACCCTAAACCCCAATGTACCCTTATGCCAATCACCTAGTGGGCTCCATGTATCTGATTTACATCTCACACAAAGCAGTATGGGCCAATTGAGGGGTTGCTAGAAAAAAAACCCTTTTGCATATCAGATAGAGAGTGGTCAATGTAATTAACTCACATGGCTAAATCTTTATTTTTATTCGATGTAGGGCTACATGGATCCCGAGTATTACATGACACAACAATTGACAGAAAAGAGTGACGTTTATAGCTTTGGAGTCGTGTTGTTGGAGCTAATAACTGCAAGAAGTCCAATCGAGAAAGGGAAGTACATTGTGAGAGAAGTGAGAAATGCCATGGACAAAAGCAAAGAGTTATACAATCTTCACGAAGTACTTGACCCAACCATTGGTTTGAGCACTCAACTCAAAGGTTTAGAAAGATTTGTGGATGTGTCATTGAGGTGTGTGGAAGAAACCGGAAGTAAAAGACCAACAATGAGTGATGTTGTTAAAGAAATTGAGGGCATTATGGAACTCGCGGGTCTTAACCCGAATGCTGAGTCAGCAGCAAATTCAGCAGGATATGATGATGGGAGTCGGGGAAGTGAACATCCTTATACTAATGATAGTCTTTTCGCCTACAGTGGTGACCATTTCCCAACAAAGTTTGAACCCAAGTAGAAACAAATTGCGGGTATTAGTGACGGGACCCGTTGCTAATACCTCTCAACTGTTTGATGTTAAAATGTTTTTTTTTTTATACTTTGTTTTGTACAAATGAGACCTACAAAATTAGGATTTTGGAAGGAAACGTGTGAGTGTTTATCCATTTATTTAAATTTGTTTATATGGTTGTACTTATGGAAATTTAAGCTATTGATTTATTCTTATTGCCGAATGTGTTACAAATTACAACTGCTATGTTATGTAATGATCTGGTTAGATGTGGGTTGACTTGTTCATATTTTTTTAATCTATAAATAATCAATACTTTATATGATGATAAAAACTATTATTAATATAATGAATGGTTTATAAAAGTGCAAGTAAATTACATGGAGAACACCCGGAGGACCAAGAAAGAATACTCGGGGAACATTTGGTTTATAAATGTGCAAGTAAATTACACGAATGGTTTATAAAAGTTTGAGTAAATTACACGAATGGCCATGGTTTGGTTCATAATTTTTTTCTTTTAACCCAAACAATATCTACTTTTGTTGCCCATTTGGTCTCACCTAAAATCACTATATCACCTTTTTTATTTCATTTTCAATTTTGTATGGTTTACTTATTTGTTTATTAAAAAGGGAAAATGACATAAATCTCCTATGAACTTTTTAGGGTTTACCTGTTGAGTCCTTAAAGTTTTTTTTTCAGGCTTTATGGATCCCTAAACTAGGATATGACCTGCTTTTTTAGTCTATGTTAACCTGTAATAGTCGGTTCAGTGGCCTTTTAGACAAAAAAAAAAAAAAAAAAAAAAAACTCACATTGTGCCCCTATAAAGCCAAAAAAATAAGTACGGGGATCAATTCTTACAAAAAAAACTCTCATTATCTTCTAAAGTCGGTTCATTCTCAATTCGTAATGATCCTCGAACTTTTTTTTTTTTTTTGACTTTATAAGGGAACAATGTGAGTTTTTTTGGTCTAAAATATCACTGAACCAATTATTACAAGTTGACAGGGACTAAAAGAGCAGATCATATCCTAGTTTAAGAACCCATAAAGCCCAACAATAACTTTAGGGATTCAACGGGTAAACCCTAGAAAGTTCGTAGGGCATTTGTGTCATTTTCCCTATTAAAAAAGGGTTTTCTAATATGTGCACATATAACAAGTATTGATTGAAGTATTAATTATCAAGAGTATTACCATAATTAAATGTGATAAACATTAGTTATAAATAATACTCCCTCCGTCCCAAATTGATAGTCCACTTTTGACTTTTAAAGTCTTTTTTCTTCAACTTTGACCTTAAATATTTTTATTTGTGTTATATATTACTTGATAAAACTTAGAAAAATGAATAGGCATTTAAAATACAATCCATTCATATATTTTGCATCAAATGTTATCTATAAAAAGCAAAATTATTTAAGGTCAAAGTTGAAGAAAAAAGACTTCAAAAGTCAAAAGTGGACTATCAATTTGAGACGGAGATAGTATTCTTTATAACTAATGTATTTTACATTTAATTATAGTAATATTCTACCTAATTAATGCTTATCATTTTTAATTAGAGTAATATTTGTTATAATTAATACTTCAATTAATGTTCATATATTAGAAAATCCTTTAATGTTTGGGGCACATATTATAAAATCTCTATTAAAAAATTATTTAATGATTAAAGTAGCTGATTTTCATTGCTTTCACATTTACCCAACATACCTTATTACATTATCTACCACACTTTCCCTCTCTCGCCGCAATACAATGATTAAGCAAATAGAATGTAGCGACCAAATCTGACACCTCCTTTTCATTTTTCATTTGAAACTTTCAAACTCTTCATCTTATGATATATAATTGAAATATTTTGCTTATATAAGAAACACTTAGCTTCTCTTTTCTTTTCATTTTGGTTCGTTTTTTCATTTTTGTTATCTAAAGTGAATAAGAATGAAGAAGTTTCAAATAGTTTTGCTTTGGTTTTTCCACATCTTTTTTTCTTTATACTTTCTTAAAGTTTCATAAGAAATTTTTTGTCTACAACATACAATCCAAAAGTTTTTAGTATTTAAAGATGATGAAAAATTGTCTCAAGGTTGTACATTTAGAGCCAAAAAATAGATGTTGTCAATTTTAATGTATAATATGTTGAAGGTATATTTGTGAAAGAAAAAAAAAGATAGAAATGACAATTTTTTATGTGAAGGTTATATATTTAGAGAACTAAAAGAAAAGTGTTGTAAATTTTCAATGATAATAAAGTGTATTTAAAAAAATAATTATATTTTAATGAGTTCTCTTCCCATTGAAAAATAAATACATAAATAAATACATAAAGAAACTATGAAGTAATGTATTTAAAGTGTGTTTTCAAAACAAAACTAATGAGACCATGAATTGAATTTTAATGGGTTCTTTTGACATTAATGAAAATATAAATATTTTAATTCATTTTTATCGTTCAATTTCTGTCTATGAATATTGAACAAAAAGGTACGAGGGTTCTACGAATGTTATTGTTTTTTTTTTTTTTTTTTTTTGTTACTTTATAAATATCTTTAGAAAGTCGTAATATTTTGGGAAAATTTTTATTAAAATCCTATTTTTTATATAAAAGTTCCAAGCATTTAACTTTTTGAATAGAATATCCCAAGAAAACAGATAATATATTCATTTTAGCTGTTTTGACATATACGTTCAGCAGATCATGAGACCAAATTGTTAATTTTTTCAAAATAATGATATTTTTCTATAGATTTCGTCAATATTTGTATATAATGTGTAAACATATTTTTTACGTATTTATACCTATTTTTACATATTTATATATTTTTCCAAGTTTTCATATGTATATGTTTATGTGTTATTTTGCATTTTAAACGTATAAACATATTTTTTACGTATTTATATGTATTTTTAAGTATTTTTGATATTTTTTTTGTAAATTTATGTATTACGTAGTTATATGTATTTTTTTTAGTATTTATGTATTTTTTTAAAGTTTTTTTTATATAAATGTTTATGTATTTTAAATATATAAACATATTTTTTACGTATTTATATATACTTTTAAGTATTTTACATATCTTTTTATGTATTTTTATAGGTTATTTTTATTTAATAAGTATTTATATGTATTTGTACGTTATTATGTATTTTAAAGTTTTTTACATAGATGTTTATTTATTTTAAATGTATAAACATAGTATTTTTATGTATTTATGCATTTTTTTAATAATTTACATATTTTTTTATGTACTTGTAAGTGTTTTTTGTAACAACCCAAAAATCATGACTAAAAATTTTGTTTGAAAAACATTACTTAAACCACGATTGTTAATCCATAACATGAATCATAACATAAAATCAGAGTATTAATTCAAAACATATTCTTATCATCAGAGTAAAACATCCCAGACTGAAGCTGTGGTGTGTGTCATCTCATCATCCCGAGCTCTTCCCCTTACTAGCGGAAGTAACTGAAACGAAAACTGAAAATTATAAGCATGAAGCTTAGTGAGCTCCCCCAAACTACCACATACCATATAATAACATATAAAGCACATACTAGGCCTTACCCACTACATCGGACCGAAGTCCGGACTAACTGGGCCTTGCCCCCTGCATCGAACCGAAGTCCGGACTAACTAGGGCCTTGCCCCCTGCATTAGACCTAAATTCGGACTAACTTGGGCCTTGCCCACTGCATCGGACCGAAGTTCAGGCTAACTGAACATAGCATAACATGATCATAGCATATAACATAAGCACATATACTACATAATGCATCGGACCAAGGCCCGGACTAACTAACACATAAACATGCCTGAATCACAAAGACATCAAGCATATTGAACTACTGCATCGAACCAAAGTCCGGAACTACTGCTATTGAAACGGGCTGGCATTGTGGTCGTAGACCCGTTCCTACTGGAAGGAAAAACTCACCTGAACTGCTAAACTCGGCCAATAACCCTCTGGCTGCTAACCAATAACTCTTTGAAATGTTGCTCATCTAGCTTTCTAAGCTACCAATACCAATAATAACACTTAGACTAAACTGTCCTCCCGATGTTAACTAAGTCAACTCTGGTCAAAGTCAACCTTCCAGTTGACCCGACTCGCCGAGTTGTTATACCAACTCGCCGAGTCCATGCTGCTCAAATCCCAAACAATCCCGACTCCACTCATCTAGTCTAGTGAGAACTCGACGAATTCTCCTTCGTCTAACACTTCGGGACTATCTTCAACCGACTCTCCAAGTTGTTCTACAACTCGCTGAGTCCATCTTCATCGGCTAAGGAGATTTTCTTGGACTCGTCGAGTTCCTCCTTGAACTCGTCGGGTACCATGATCTTCATGTCCATCACGGGCACAAACTAGCTGAGTCCTTTTCTAACCCTACTCATTGATCCGACTCATAAACAGAAGGGTTTGGGTTTTGCGAATCGACTCGCCGAGTCCTCCTTGTGACAACTCTATTCTGTCGATTTCAGTCTATTCCAACACTTCCAGCTCATATATCTGGACTCCTTATGCTAGCATTGCATGTAGAGTTGCTAACTTTATGTGCATGCAAGGTGTTATGAGGCTAAAATACCCTAATCTAAACTACAATTGAGGTCTAAGTCATGAAAGGAAACCATAGTTGAGTAAAGCTTCTCACTCAGAGCTTTTAGAGCTCAGAAATGCTCAGATCTAATATTCATTCGTCCTTAAGGGCTCAATACTCGGGTTGGCCTACGAAATGGTCCCAAAAGTGACAAGATACTAGCAAAGAAGGGGATCTAGATGATTAATAGCCAAGGTATCAGCTTCATACCTTCAAATGATCTGAGATAACACCCAAACTCTGTATCTATACTCCATTCCTTGCTCCTTTCTCATTCAACCTTCAAGACGCACTCAAAAGAGACCTTAATCTTATCACCTAAGCTCAAGAATGAAGTTGGGTGGCTAGGGTTTCGTCTCTGGACAATGGGGACTGTAAATGAAACCCTAGAAATGAGAATGAGATGCTTAAATAGGGTGCCAAGTCCCGAAACTAGGGTTTCCCAACCTAGACCAGACTTGCCGAGTCGGTCACTTAATTCGCGACATGGGTCACACTCCGACTCGTCGAGTTCGTCCTTGGACTCGACGAGTTGACTCCTTTGATTTAAGGCT